ATATGAGTGTGTACCAGCTAAACTCCAGGCTGGCCTATGCCTTGCAAAGACATTTATAATAGAATAATATAAAGTCTGAAAATGCTGAACATGGTGCATAAATGAATTTCAGTAGACACATCGACAGTCTCACCTATCACACTCAGGAGTACAAGTACCCATAATTATCTGAAATGTACTAATATCTCTCAAGCCATTAACCAGCTACTTTCAAAATGTACCTTTTTCAAACATTGTCTTTTCGACTTCAATCTGCCCTCCATCAGAAGGATACAGATAGTAATTTGTCCCTGAGATTTGGATGGGTATATTTCCCATATTATATCCTCGAAACTAGAAGAGAAAACATCATGCTTTGAATGTGGAAATGCAATTGACAAAAATCAACTTATCAGCGTTAGCCAATTAAAGTTGCCGTAGCTTAATTTCTGCTAAATGATATGTCTGTCGCTTTGCAGACTCAGAGGTCAGTGTCCAAATTGCTTTTAGAACCTTCGATAGTGTTACAATGACAGGCCACGTTAAAGGAGGTCTATGATTTTAAATTCTGTTCACTGGAACATCCTCATAACCTAGTCCAAATCAAATCACTGTATTATTGTCAAGGCAGTTCAAAAAGAAATCAAGTTCTCATTCATTGGCTACAAATTTTCTGTTTAAAGTGAACTGCTATACTGAGGAGTGTTGACACTTTACATTTTAGGAGGTCATATGGAAAGGACATTCTTTACTGTGTTGCTAACAGAGTTCCAGGTGATTCCCAATGCATGCTAAAACTTGGGAACAATTGGTTTGGAGAAGTAGCTACGAAGGACAGGGGCTATTACTTTTCTTTCCATTTTCTCCCATTAGGTTTTCCTCATGATAGCCACAGCTACCTGAGGGAGAATTTGCAAAGGAAGGTTTTACAAAAGCATAGTCACCGGAAGCATGGGTGCCTACAGAGAGACAAGCAAATGTAGCCAGCAAGTCCCCCATTATCTGAGACAGTTAAAGCCAGCCTTTGTGTTCATGTTGACTTATTACAGTAGCTTATTTACATATACCTAATTGAATGCTTTTGTGTCAATTTTCCATCTTTAGTGCCCTTAGTAACCTAGCTTCATGGCACTCAGGTGTTCTTATCTTGGTGATTGACTACAAAGAAGGTTCTAGATATCAGAGAGTGGGATACAGGTTTGAGCTCATTGATACCAGAAGAAACTTAAGGGCCTTCTGTGGTGGTAGTGAAGATAAGAGAATTTTAAGTTTCCAAAGAATCCATGTTTTCCCAAAACAGTTAGGAATAGCCCAAAGAGACTTTTTAAGAGAATTGATTTTACCGGGTAAACTATCTCAGGTTCTGGTTGCTGGTGGGACTCCTCTATTACTTCTTGGCTCTTTATTTGTTCTTCTTTAGATTTCTCCTTCAACAAAGATTTTTTCCTCAAAACTCTACTATCTTCTTTCTCTTCCTTATCCTTGTCTTTCTTTTTACCAGCTTCTTTA